TTTATTCACATATTTAATGAGTGCCATAAGATTTATTAATTTTTGTCAAAATCTACTAAAAATTAGTTTTAATCCCGTTGGCAAAATTGCTAAAACCCTTACCCCTAAACCCTATCAGAGTTCGACTACTAAAAAACTAACCCTGAGGAAGCTGAACCGATTCCCCCAATTACAGTAAAAATGGCCTCTCAGGCCTTCTTCGGTAGTCTTGTCATCCCCTGCAGAAACCCCCATTCCAATCATAATGCGTCCACATTAATAGTAAGACTCTCTTAATTCCACACAGACTCTCGTGTGTACCCATTTTGATTTTTGGGTTTATTTTGTTTGCTTTGCAGAGGTGTAACAGTGTAGCGGAGCCACTGAAGTATAAGGAACATGGAAAACCAGGAAGCTTGCCCAGTAACATTAGCAACGATTACGGACAAGTAACGTCGTTGCCGGGCTTCTCCAACACTCACAATCAATTGTATGAAAGAATTCCATTTCAGAAAAATGACACCCGTCTTCGGATTTTCTCGGGCACTGCTAACCCTTCTCTGTCGCAGGTTTTTTCCTGCTAAATTTTCGTTCAACTTTTTTCACGCATGCTTGTGGATTAAAATTTTTCCGTGTGGTTCATGATCGTTTTAAGCATTTCCAAACAAAGAGGTGATAGATATGTGGTAATAAGCCATGGAGTTATAATGTGCTAAAAAATACATTAAGAATTCAATTGCGATGAATAATATTTGTTATTTGTGAAAAAGGAGAAGAAATTTTGACTTATTTATAAGCATTGAAACCTTGTTTGGTTTGGATTGGATTACATTCGCCGAGGTAAATCACTTCCAAAATATAGATTAAAGTCTTTGGGCAATGTGATGATTTTGGTTATTATTTAATACTACAGAAAATTACAAAAAATGGTTGTATTATGTTCACTATTGAATCTATAAATAATCATGATCATATCAAATGCAAATTGATTCTAAGTGTTTTTTATTTTAGTACCATAACATTGCACTAGTTAATATGACTTCTGGATGTCATTTTTCTTTCCCAATGTTTAGCAGATATTTGTAATTCTGCTGAAGGGAATAATATTTGTATTATTATCATAATTTTATTAGTTGACGTGGAAAAGTGTTGTAGTATTATATCCCACTTGCTTTCCTCCATGCAGTTTTTGATGTGCGAGTTCTTCTTCTTTTCTGCACAATATTTGTTTAAAGTTTGCAAGGTACATAAACAATTAGACTGTTTGGTATGGAAATGTGTCTTTTACAGGAAATTGCATGTTATATGGGTCTGGAGCTTGGAAAAATTAAGATAAAAAGATTTGCTGATGGAGAGATTTATGTTCAACTACAAGAGAGTGTTAGAGGGTGTGATGTATATCTTGTGCAGCCCACTTGTCCTCCAGCAAATGAAAATCTTATGGAGCTCTTGATAATGATTGATGCTTGTCGAAGAGCATCGGCCAAAAATATTACTGCTGTTATTCCTTATTTTGGATATGCTAGAGCTGATCGAAAGGTATGTTATCTCATCATTGACTTGATTTAAGTACACCCAAGGATTGGTTTGTCGCATTGAAATATTGATTTGAAATAGTTTGTTGAGGCGATAGTCTCGAAATTACAGAATGAGCCCTTTCAAATAGGTAACATATCAATCTGCTTGACCTTGACCCTCTGTCTTTCCCTGCTAAATGAAACATTATGTTGCTGCTTATGGGTTTCTATTTTGAAGCTCGTATTTTGTTCACTCACATTGAGTCTTTTCATCAAAATTGAAGAATTCTTACTAAATGTTACTCATAAAATGTAGCCATCTAAGTATTGAAAAATATCTACATGCTTCAGGTTCCCATTTTTACTTTGTATTCTTGAGTGTTTTCAAATTTAAAATATTTCAGAAGGAAAAAAAAAAAAAAAAAAAAAATCCTTGAATTAAAATCAATTAGATGCCAAATGATATAAATATTGTGAAAGTATTTTAGGTTTCACCTTTATTTATTGACAATTGGCCTCTGAGTGATGAATTTGGGTTTCGAGTGTTCTGAGTTATCTTTGGTTTAGTACTTCAATTACCTATTTGTTGTCATTATGAACATTCATTTCTATTACAGACACAAGGGCGTGAGTCAATAGCAGCCAAACTTGTAGCTAATCTGATTACTGAAGCTGGTGCAGACCGGGTGCTTGCCTGTGACCTTCATTCTGGTCAGTCCATGGGCTATTTTGACATTCCAGTGGATCATGTACATGGTCAGGTAAAAAGCTTTGTGATGTTTGTTTATAAACAGAGGCTAACACTGGCATCATTTTTGTGATTCTTGGCAATATGTCACAAGAAAATTTAGTTGCTGTTGAATTGAAGATTGGCGAACGAGGCTGACTGAATTATCTATACATTGCTTTTTTTCCCCACGATCTTACTTTAAAATATTGCACTGATGTTCTTTTAACTTAGTTTGAAATTATATCGTTTATTTGTTTTTTCTTTGGAATGTTTGCAAGTAGCCTGTCATACTTGATTACCTTGCCAGCAAGACAATATGTTCTGATGATCTGGTCGTGGTCTCGCCTGACGTTGGTGGGGTTGCTAGAGCAAGAGCTTTTGCCAAAAAGTTGTCTGATGCACCTCTTGCGATTGTTGATAAAAGGCGTCATGCACATAATGTTGCCGAGGTGAAGACAATCAAATTGAAATGTATCTCTTTGTTTAATATGGCTATGGTGTTTCTAGGTGTTAGTCCTACATTTATCTGGTATGCCGTATTTTGATGCCTAAGACCACTAACAGGTTAAGATACATATTTGGATAATGCAGGTGATGAATTTGATTGGTGACGTGAGGGGAAAAGTGGCGGTGATGGTGGATGACATGATTGATACAGCTGGTAAGTTTTTTCTTCAAGTTCCACTTATTCTTTCTCAAACAGCTGCAGCCTGGGCAATTTGATCTTTGTTCTCCTCCACCGGTAGAATATTGAATATATCTACATACCGAGCTACTTTCAATTTTGACTGATTGGTTCACAACTCTCTCCTAATCAGTAATATACCAACTCTTCCAGCTACAAGTTCTTTTCGGTTTCCTTTGTCGAAAGATATGTAAATCAATTGCTCAGCCTATGTTTGGCTTATGTTTATAAACTGTTTATAAATGCAAACCACTTTGTATCCACGTTTTGAGGGACCCACAAGTACTAACTACCTATTATACCCATCGTTTCTATATTTATAATTTAAGTCATTTATTAACACTTCTCTAACATGCTCTCAATTTCCAATTTTTGTCTCCACTTGGAGGATTGCTGCATATAGCTTTTGCAAGAAATTATGTCCTAATTATTTTATCTGGTGTTGGGAACCGTACTTACCAGCAGATTGTTTATAGGAACCATTGCCAAAGGAGCAGCTCTGCTGCATCAAGAAGGAGCTAGGGAAGTGTATGCTTGCAGCACTCATGCTGTTTTCAGGTAGTAAATCAATTATTGTTCGTGCATCATCAAATCTTGCTTTTCTGAGGTATATTAGCTGAAGCTTTGAGTGTAAGATATGGTTGACTGGAAGTGTGGGTTTTTTTTTCTTTTTTTGGAACTCATAAACATAATAGCATATAGAGTCACATGATCTCTATATTTAATGAAAAAATGAGTATCGAGTTTAGATCATTGAGGTGCTTGATCATTATATTGGTCGGGTTCAGGGCAAGATCATATATTTTTTACTTTGACCAATGAAGTTGTCGCATTTTATTCTTTTGGAGCAAGAGTTCCATGTCCATAATATATTGCAGTACTTAACAAATTAGGCCTAGCTTGATATTGGACTTTGCTCGTACTGAATCAGGTATAATACTTTTCATTATTTTTTATACTCAATATCCATGTTAAACTTTTTGCAGTCCTCCTGCAATTGAGCGGTTATCAAGTGGACTATTCCAAGAGGTTATCATAACAAACACCATTCCAGTAGCAGAGAAGAACTATTTTCCCCAGCTCACAATATTATCCGTGGCAAACCTCTTGGGCGAGACTATATGGCGTGTGCACGATGATCGCGCTGTGAGTAGCTTTCACTTAAATGTCCCCAGCCCTTTTACACAACCCTCTCCTGAAGAAAGATGAGAATTTAAGACACAACAAATGAATAAAAGATGAAGAAAAATAGACACTAATTGTATTTGCATTTTATGTTCTATTCTTGCCATTTTTTGACAAGAAGATGCTCATATAATTTTAAGGGATGTCCTCCATGGAAAACTTGAATAACTAATTCATTTCTACAACAAATTGGATAAGAAAATGCACACGAAAGAAAAGAACAGATTTGTGATTATGATTTTCTGCTAGCACGATAATCCTCACGTCTTCCCTATAAAATATAATGATGCCTACCACACTAGATTGGAGTTTTTGACTGTTCATTGCATTTTCATTATTGAAGAGGAATTGCATCTGACTTCACTTTCTTGCCATTTTCAGGGTGGATTTGAACCCTATTCGAGCTTGGGCATTGATTGATGATTTTTCAATGCTGCGTCTTTCACTATCATTTTGCTCCCCTGAAAGGCGGTCTTTTTAACGTTCAATTTTCGTTCATGAAATAAATATATCTTTTTTATTTTCATTTATTTTTTTTGGTCCTGCTGTTCAAACGTGTGACAAGATCGTTGTATAAAGTATGAACAATCTTCTGAAGGCTATTGTTTATGAGCATCGAAATGTTCGATGCCATCTTGAATTCTTTATATACATGTATGGTTCATGTAGTCCATAGATTTCAGATTCAATTTAATATCATGAATCAATCATGTGTAAGGTCAAAGTTATATATACAAGTTTGGTTTAGTACTGAACTAAAGTTTTTGTTTCAGCTAGAATCAATTTTTTCACGGACCGTTAGACATGGATAACGATCATCTGATGCAGTGATGCAGTATCAATATGGAAGTTAAAATCGCCTCTTTTATGCTGCGCACAAATATATTTTGTTAGATTCCACGAAGATTCAATAGCAGAAATGCTGCCTTGCAATGAACCAGGATTGCAGTTTGCAAACATGGTACATTGATTTGTCATATGAGAACTCAAACATTGACTCTGAAAGAATATGTTCCCATTAAAACAACTAAACTTCTGATAGCAGAAAGAGAGCCTTAATGACACACAACTTGAAAGAGATGCAATTATTCTACAAAAATGTCAATATAATTTGTAATTTTCTTTTCTGATATACAATGAGTAGCATTTGTTCCGAATTGTATAAAATGGAGGCCCAAAGATCTGAGAGCTGCTCACACCATTCCTTTGTGTATGTTTGGTATGCCATACTAGGCAAGACTGGACAACATGATGAATCCAATACTAAATATTCTCCCTACCAAACATGGCATTAAGATTCACCTTTCACAGCTGATTCATCGTCATTTAGTAGAACCTCTGCGGAGGAATGCTGTCCCCCCGTATTGCGAACTTCATGTATTTGATTATTTTGCACGTAATCTGTGTCCCTCTCCATGAACTGGAATCCCATTATGTACCTGTATTCGCCAGTTCCAAGACAACGAGGACAGTAGCCAAGACCACTTCCACCACAGCTTCTGCACCTGGATCGTTGGTTAGGAGCAAATGGTGAGGCATCAAAAGGTCCAGCATTATGAACCCATGATTAAATCAATTGTGGATCAATCCAATCCAAGTTTTTTTGATCTTACCATTTCGGCCACTCTCCTTTCGGAAGCATTGTTAAATGAATGTGATTTGTTCTCCCTGCAATATTAAAACTAGAACCTAGATTAGTCGACAAAATCAACAAAAATTTTTGGGATATGTGCCTAAAGCACTAGGATCATACCGCAATAGTTAAAACATTTTTAATATTATTACCCTTATTTGATCAACATTATTTACAAAATACATTTTTCTCTCTCTTCTTTTCAACTATACATTCTTTAAAATAATATTACACGCAAATTCAAAACGTTTCCTTATTTTTTAACCACACATTCTCCATCAATCAACTATTCCAAATTGCATTCTTAGCCAAAAAAGGGGGCTCAAATAGATATATATAATCCGTTTATTTATTTTTTAAACAATTATTGCATTTACATTGAGAATGTGAAAAGTGCTTTTAGTAGTAAACATGTATTATTCATGTTTAAAATCCACTACTAAGTCTCCTGAGCCCAAGGGGAGGGGGACGTGGTGGATTAGGGATTCTTAAAAATGCATTAACATCTATTCAAGTGCTCAACAAGAGTACTAAGCCTCTAAATTGTACATTTATTTAGGTCTATTTGTTCTGAACCACCTAATAACTACCTTTGGCTCACAGGCTAATAAAAAAATGTACAATTTTCTAACTTAAAACTAACAATTATGAAATAAATGGCCAATTTACCCCTCCAAGAGTTACCCAAAGCAGCTCCAAAGGACTCCTTGTTTACAAAGAGAAGTTGAAAGGAACAGAGGCAAATAGAGAATGCACAGAGGAAAGTAGCAAAGAGGGAGAAAAAGAGATGTAAAAAACCAACCTCTTCCACGGCAATCATGACAATCAACTCTCCCACTTCCTCTGCAAACAACACAAGGCGGATCTGGCCGTTTGCTTTTTTCTTTCCAAACATTTGACTATATCAAAATAGATTGTCAGTAGAATGTAGTGGCAACTACGTCTAATGCATTCTTATAAAATTAAATAAAAAGATATCGACTTTGGTCAAAGATGGATTAATGTTAGAAGAACAATATTATATATATTTTCAATGTCTATAGGGGAATAGAATCCCATTCTGGTGTTGCAAAATAGATTGTCAGTAGAATGTAGTGGCAACTACGTCTAATGCATTCTTATAAAATTAAATAAAAAGATATCGACTTTGGTCAAAGATGGATTAATGTTAGAAGAACAATATTATATATATTTTCAATGTCTATAGGGGAATAGAATCCCATTCTGGTGTTTAAATTCAATTTTATTTTGACATAGTTTGGCCAAATTGAACGAAAAGATAACAATCCAACTTAAACATTAACTTGTAGACAAGGTGATGACTGGTCAAGGTACTAGAAAAGAAAATTCTCCATCTTCTCCAGCACCATGAATCTAAATCAGACATGCTCAACCCATTACCAAAGTAACACAAACAACTCAGGTCCTTTATGCAATCACTAGGTCAAAGAAGATACCATGCTACTTAACTCTAGTTGGCATTGTGTTAAGCCTTTTGTGGTCGACAAAGTGTGGAAAATACATATTCTTCTTTAGCAGCGTTGACTTTCAGAATCAGCTTTCAAAAAGGGATTCAGTGATATGATGCCTCTTTGGCTGACATTGAAAAGAGAAAAATGAATTCACAACTAGCATACACATCAGGAAAAACTTGCAAACTGCATCATAAAAATTATACGCGGACCAAATTCCAGAAAGATTCACAAATGCTAAATCAAAAATTCAAGTGATTTTGAAAAACCTATGCCAAGTACAAACACAAAAAATAGATATGAGCAATATAGCCTTCTACTTCTTGTCTTACTTGTATACTTCTTGTGTTTGAAAATGGTAAGAAACACAAAGCATGTCTGGCCATACTTATCTAAGGTCCCCAAAGTGATTTACAAGTTCCACGGGTGCTCCTAACTCCACCTAATGCAAGGTAATTCATTTCGCTTATCTCTCATACTTCTGTCTTTACATGGAAGGAGTGCTCACACGAAGAATATAAAAAGGCTCCATATTGTCAATAGCTGCTATTTTTGCAGCATGAACTTATTCAGTAGTATTCCGATTCATGATCAAAACAATTCAAATTCAAAAGAAATCATTTCTGATTCCGATTTTCTAGGTCCCAAATCTCAATTGCGTGTTCCAACTCAATCCAAAGCCATTTGATTTTAAGTTCAAAGAGAATTAACACTAACCCAAAACAAAATAAATCTAACCCTAAAACGGATGGAAAAAACATGAAATTTGTGATAAATTAATTAAAGGGTTTACTAAACAACTTGCCTCTGTTCTGACGACCCAAGAAGGCTTAGAGAGTGAGAGAAGTGGCATTGCACTTGGTGGGTTTTGATTCTGTGGAGAGGGTATACCATTATTTGCTGCTTCCGACCTAATAGATGCTAGTAAACTTATACTTGTTATCACCGCCATTCTTGGACAGTATAAAAGCTTGCTGGCAGTAGAAAAAAGGGTCCCAGAATTATGCTAGAACGGATTTCTGAATTCCAATAATTCTTTCTTTTTCGAGTAGAGAGTTCGCGTCAGTGGTGCAAGTTTTCAGCTGAAAGTCACACTTCAATCAAACCCCAAACGGAGATGGAAAATGGACATCCATTGAATTTTCATTACTTTCAGGTTTCTAAACGATATAGATATAGATATAACGGAAATGAATTTATTAATTTCCCTCAGACTCGTATATGAAGCAACAAATTTTTTTGGTGACAATCAAGTTAGTGACTAGAAATTCAAATTTGGTTTCGATTGCAATCAGTCTCGGCGTTATTATTTATCAATTAAAGAGGGTGTTTGAGAGTAATTTTTCACTCCAAAAATTAATTCTTTGACTGTTATTTCACTCCTCCAACCATGAAGTTTGACTTCTTCTTTCACAAATGGGCTCCACTTTTCTCTTAATGGTCAAAAATTCAATTCTCAAAATCGCTCTCAAACGGGGCCTAAGTCCAACCAGAGATTTGATAGAGATGCGATAAAATATATGTGGATTGAATAATTAAAATTTAATTTCTACTCATTTTTTGTACCATTTTTGGGTTTTTTGTTATTTGTAGATAATAGATTGAGATCCATAATTTATTATTATCGATTTTATTTTAGATAATAGATTTGACCGAGAATATGGTTAAAGAACTATTTTTCTTCTTTTGAGTTTTTTTGTTGTTTCTACATTTGGTAACTATGTCATCTTATTCCTATAAATTAGTTGTGTGTGAAAAAGAATTTGGTCCCAATACATTGGAAGTAGGGGTGGGCGCGGGTTGGTTCAGTTCCGCTCCGTTCGGTTAGGTTCGGTTCTGTACTATAATTAAATTTTTTAACATTTATAATAACATTATATAAATACAACTAATAATACATTTAATGGTTTTGGAATACCATAGACTAGTAGATTACCTTGTTCAAATGATCGCTACGGTCAAAGTTTCGGTTAGCGGAGGCCGAAACTTCGATCGGAAGTCACAGCATCAGCCGACGATTGCATATGTTTTGAAATGTCAGCGAGGCTGCGAGAGTGAGTGCGAGAGTCGAGACAACGTTATGCACTTTAGTGTAAGTGTTTAGAGTTATTTAGTGGATTGAATATTGTTGGCTAAGAAATGAAACAATAAAATGGGTAATGGGGCCAAAAATTAAAAAAATTATAAATGAAACAAATTATTGGGCAAAAAATTTGGATTTAGAAATTGTTAATTTGTTAATTTGTTTAGAAAAAATTAACCATAGACTAGTAGATTACCTTGTTCAAATGATCGCTACGGTCAAAGCTTCGGTTGGCGGAGGCCGAAACTTCGATCGGAAGTCACAGCATCAGCCGGCGATTGCATATGTTTTGAAATGTCAGCGAGGCTGCGAGAGTGAGTGCGAGAGTCGAGACAACGTTATGCACTTTAGTGTAGGTGTTTAGAGTTATTTAGTGGATTGAATATTGTTGGCTAAGAAATGAAACAATAAAATGGGTAATGGGGCCAAAAATTAAAAAATTATAAATGAAACAAATTATTGGGCAAAAAATTTGGATTTAGAAATTGTTAATTTGTTAATTTGTTTAGAAAAAATTAAAATTAAAATAATTTGATTTACTCGATATAAAAAAAAATTAGAAATATTCGGTTCTTCAGTTCTTGGTCTAGAACCAAGAACCGAATCGTACCCGTCGGTTTCCAATTCAGATACCCGTTCGGGTATTTAATTTGACAAGAATCGTCGGGTTCGGTTCAGTTTGCTTCGGGTTTGATTCGAGAGATTTGCCCAACCCTAATTGGAAATTAGAAATATTCGGTTCTTCAGTTCTTGGTCTAGAACCAAGAATCGAATCGTACCCGTCGATTTCCAATTCAGATACCCGTTCGGGTATTTAATTTGACAAGAATCGTCGGGTTCGGTTCAGTTTGCTTCGGGTTTGATTCGAGAGATTTGCCCAACCCTAATTGGAAATGAATTCTGATTGCGGCGATGTTGCTTGATTGTTACGACGCTGTTGGATTTTAACCATGGTAGTTAGAGGTGGGGAAGGTCACAGACTGAAAGTCATAAACGTCGCAAACTCCATAAAAAGATGCTACAAAATTGCCAATTTCAGTGCTTACAAAACTATAAGTATTGCACAATCAATTTACTAGCAAGTGATGCTAGTAGTACACAATCTTGGATTTTTAATTGTTATGATGATGAGGAGAATGTTGATAATGATATCTTATCATCTAACAAAAGTTAATTTGATTTATCAAGTTGATATAAGGAAGTCTGATGAAAACGATTTTAAAATCGAATGATACGGAAGATAACTTGGATAAAGAAGAGAAGATTAAATTAAAATCCATAAAGAGCCAGACAAGATATAATTTTTTAAGTCAGGGTTTGCGTCTAATCTAATCGTAAAAATTTACACACACATATATAAATTTCAAATAATGCATTAATTAATTAATTTATTAGTTTTATAATATTTAAAAGTGAAAAAAAAAGTTTAATTACCTACTTGCTTAATAATGATTGATGCTCGATCGAAATGTATTATCACGTATTACGCATTTTAAAACCTTGAATGTTACTGTTGCTTAGCAGAAATAACTTCTTTTCAAAAGCAAGTGTTTACTTACTTTCCGATAATTACTTCCAAACGCGGTCCAAGTCATTGTTTTAACTTTTCACAATGCAATTTTGAAAAAGAGAAAAAAATAAAACAAGCATTATTCAAATCAAACAAAAACCCCTCCCATTTGGAGGAAACACGCACGCACAGAGACAAAACTTGCGAAGCTAATATCGATTTTTCCGGCGGATACCACAGATATATATTTCCTCCAAGACCTTAAACCTCCATAGGAAAACCCGATCCACTCCATTTAGAGAAGATCCCAATTCAATTGATTTGATATTTCCGTATTTGATTGATGGCTCCGGTTTCAGCTCTCGCGAAGTATAAATTAGTGTTCTTAGGAGATCAATCGGTCGGAAAAACTAGTATTATCACAAGATTCATGTACGATAAATTCGATAACACTTATCAGGTAAAGATTAATTAATCATCATTAAATTTTGATTTTATTTTCAAGTATTAATTTGCTTCAAGAGTACGGATCTAACTGCTAAAGTTTCTAATTTTTCAAATATTCTGACTTTTTAGTTTTCTTTCTTAATTAATAGTGATTTTGTTTAGATTACTAGCTAGTTTTGGGCAACACTCAATTAACGTAGTTAGTGATCTTACGTTAATGAGTTTTTGTTTTGATCAATGATCTCATCCGAGTCATCTGATGCCGCGATAATGCATGATTTGTCATTTATCACTTAAGATCTTCTTTTGTGACTAGGATTTTTATCTAGTCTTGATCAGTTTAGAGATATTGATAGCCGGCTTTATTTAGTTGATTTTTATGCAAAATATTAACTAGTAATTTGTATAGTACTTGAAGAAAAATGGAACACAGATAAGGGACACGATCTGAAATAAACTAAAGTTATTATGATACGATCGAAATACCCTTATGGAACTTCTTGTTAAATATGAGCACTCTCTAGATTTCACACATACCTGATTAAGCCTCTGTCTGGAATCAATTTTTTAGAACTCATTTTTCTCAGATTCATTTTCAATCACACATTTCTTGGGACCTACAATTTTATCAACTTTTATCAAAATCTATTAAAACTCTGATTTTTGTCAAAACCAAATGGGGACTGAATTAAGTCCATTTAGTTTTTCTTTTTGACATTGGATAAAGAAAGGAAAAATCTTATGATACTCATGGCATGCTTGTGTTTGAAAAGTGGACCTTTTCATGTCTAAACAATGTCTGTCCTTCAATAGGAGACATATTCTTATTATATAATTTGATTCCTTTAATTGCTTTTCAGGCTACTATTGGCATTGACTTCCTCTCAAAGACCATGTACCTTGAAGACCGAACAGTAAGATTGCAGCTTTGGTAAGAATGTCATCTATAATTTTAATATTTATGTAACTGATTTGTGCTTGGTTCAGAACTTCAGATTGTTGCCTCATAGTGTGTGCATATTACCTCTCATTATCATTACAGTATCAACATTAATCTGAATATGAATTGAGCGTTAAAATTATAGTATATTGCAGAACATTCTCCTGCTGAGTATCATTATCATTGGCCAATAAATAGCAGTGATAGTTTGGTTGATTTAATGGCCAAAGTGATTGAAGATGCTGCTATGTAGCTGCTGATTTATTTGTGCATACTCTCGTTCTATGTACTTTTTGATATGATATCCTGATTACATTTATGAGAAGGCATGGGATTTTCGCGTTCTGATGTTTTTCACCCCATGTTGCTACTGGGGCATTCTCAAGGCTGTATTTAGTGGCATGGAAATTGGTCCATGAAATTTAAATTACTGGAAAAATCAGTTCACTCCCAAGACCACTTCACGTAAATGTCGAGATAGTGAGCATTCCAGCTGCTCTTGTCTGTCAAAGTAACAACATCAAGCCCGACGTGGAAAGCTTTTTCTTATTCTATTGTGGGATTGTATTGCTAAAGAGGTGTTAGAAAGCTAGTTGACTTGACTTCATGTTCTCTTATCTGCAGGCCCCTAAGCATAGTTGCCCACATTTTGGCATGCATGCATGCACTCACTCTTGCATATCGCCAAATTTGGATTATGTACTTTGGATTTCTTGCAGATTTACATACTTTTGGGAACCTTATTTTTTTTCTTATATGTGCAGGGATACTGCTGGACAAGAAAGATTTAGGAGTCTAATTCCAAGCTATATAAGGGACTCTTCTGTTGCAGTCATTGTATATGATGTTGCAAGTATGAATCTCTCTGCATAATGTAAATTTATATGTTTACACCACTCACAGAAACTGAAAAACAATTTGATACGTGCATAACTAGAACAAAAAGTATAGTTGCTGAAGTTTTTTTTTTGAATTGTTAACTTAAATTCTGCCTTGTGTTGGTTCTCCTTCACTTTGTACCCGTGTATCTCCTATATCATTTAAAAAAAAAGAAAAAAAAAAAAGAAAAAGGAAAGAAAAAAAGAAAAAGAAAAAGAAAAAGAAAGACTACTTGTAAAAGGGTCTACCTATAACCACCTGAAAAGGTGTTCTTGTAGTCCTGCGATGAGCTTCGAGTTTCAATTCTCTTCATAAATGGAAAGAATTTCCCAATCCTGTCTCATATCTGATAATTGACATGAGTTTTGTATATTTGCTCTATAAATGTGCATTGACGATAATTTTACCTATTATTTTGATGCCTTTAGACAGGCAATCTTTCCTCAACACTTCAAAGTGGATTGAGGAGGTTCGCACTGAGAGAGGCAGTGATGTCATCATTGTGGTCGTTGGCAATAAAACTGACCTAGTGGATAAGAGGTAGGGATATTGTTGACCTTTTTCCCTTATTTTCGTTATTCATATAAAATGTTACTTTTCAATGAGATTTTTGTTATTTTGCCCCTGTTTGGTGGTGTAGATTAATATTAGATTTTATGTAGATTTTGCTCAAAGTTGACGAAATGTATGTTTGAAAAGTTGCGCGTTCTATGAAATGTGTGATTAAAATTAATTGTTGACTTTGCCTTGGTATTTTAATCTAATTTTAATCTAGACCAAACACGGGGCTTTATTAATTTTGTTTGAGGGACATTGGTTCGTGGAGCTGATGCATATGCTATAAGAAACAAGAAAATAACATTATTGAGGTTATACAAATTACTAACTGTGTAGAGTTGCAGGCTTTTTAGAGTAATACTGTAGGAGATATTTGTGATATTATTCTATTTATTAAACCTTAAGTTTGTTTTAAATGCAGTGCTTGCTCATTTAGAAATACGCAAAATTGTGTCCTTTATTTGAATTGCCTAACATTTTGATTGTCTTTTCTTCGTTAACCTTTATCAAATGCATTAATTTGTTTAAAGATTGTGTACCTTTTTTTGAAGCAATGATGCTGAATTTTTAATCAAAATCGAGTTATTGATGCTTAGAGCATACAACTGTATGGATTAGTTTATGATGATAAGGTTCCAATTGCAGTTTGCGTACAGAAAATATATTGCTATTATTGATTGAAGAAAAATTACAGAAACGGAAGAGAAACAATAGACATTCGACAGGGTTAAAACTTTTCTAAAGTTCTCTCTTCTACTCACTCAATATCCTCCCCTCTATTACTAGCTTCTACCTTTATTTATAGATCTCTGCTAACAGAATTCAGTTTTCTCTCCCCCACCCACTTGCAGGATATTCTGCTTCTGGATCCTTCTAGAATAAGTGAGGTGGATTAATCTGACTTAGTAGTTCAGCCTTCAACATGGAAACAAACAGTGGCATGAAATACAACAGCCTTAAGTATGTAGAAAACTATCGGAAATTTTTCTTGAACCAATAGAAGATTTTTTTAATTGATATACGTGCCAACAAGCCTTTTGGCTATTAACAGGATAAACTGGTTTAGGATGTGAACGCTCAAAAATAATTGTGTGACACCTCAGATGGGAAAACAATGTCTAGGTTGGAGAAAAGAATGATGCGATGGAAGTCGTGTGGATCCTGGGATAGGTCTCGAAATAGAGATTATTCGGTTTGTCATGGGTTGTCTCTTTATTTGGTCTCCTTTTGGCAAATTTATAAATCATTTATAAATTGATTGAACTTCATTTTCAACTACACATTTCAAAGGATCTACGGGTATTATTCCCTTATCCACCACTCATTTTTATCCTCTTATAAGTTAAACCGTTTATAAATTCTTCCCAAAGGGAGGCTTAATTGTGTATAGCGATTTTTGTTTCCCATCTTGAAGTAGCATAGACACAAGTAAGATTCGGCTTCAACCCTGATATTTGTTCTAGAGTTGTCATTTGTAAAAGAAAGTTTCTGTTATGGAAAACTGTTTCGAGGGGGGAATTAGTGCATGTGTAGCATCTGAAGAGCAACAGTTAAACACTGAAGTAAGAGTATTATGGTTAAGAAACTTCCGAAAGCTATGACTATGTAATTATGTGGAAGTGGTTGCATTATGTGTTTTCAATGCTTATTACTTGGTCTGATAACGATTCTTAACCATCTTTGCAGATGAATCGCAGAAAGATCAGAGCAACTTACCTTATCTGGTTTCTTTAGATATTATTATTTTTTTCTCTTTACTCGTACTTTGTACATTTTTGACACCACACAAATCTTCATTAGTGTGTATTTCAGTCTTTGCAGAATTTATCTATTATGGCGTTTTCTTTACACTGTCCATGAAGGAGCATATAATTTGTTGTTGAAAAATACTCAAGACTACTAAAAACCGTCTTGCTAGACATAACTTGTTCCCTTTTCCGTGTTTAGAATTTTGGACACTAGTACTTATTGGTAGATAGTATGAATAAAGTTTAACTCAGATCTTGTTCCTTTATAGATTTATCAAATAAGAACTATTGAGCTATTCCCAACCGGTAATGTAAAGTCACAAATCTCATGAGAAATGAACCTTGTGAGCAGACAATTCTGATGTTGTGTCTCATAGTTTTGATATTTGCCAATATTTTAGTAAAGTATGATAAACTTTGTGAAACTGTACAATAGGAAATATATAATAAAACTTTAGTAAGAGTGTGGTGAAGGAGATATTAATGAATTGGTAATAAATGTCTTTCTGCTTAGTCTCATCATCTAGTTATATCTTTAAGCATTGATCAATTTAATGATGAAAGCGAAATCAAATAGTTTAAATCACTATACACACATATTCTTTGGGTTAATGTTCTTGTATTTAATTCCTTTGACATTATATTCTACTCTCATCTGTTAAATGTGCATGGTGACAATTTAGGCAAGTCTCAATAGAGGAAGCAGAGGCCAAAGCTCGTGAACTAAATGTCATGTTTATTGAAACGAGTGCCAAGGCTGGCTTCAATATAAAGGTAAGTGGCAGCAGTTGTTATGAAGTCTACTTCCAAATGTTCTGGTTGAGTGGTGGACTGTGTGAATGTGATGGGACTTTTTCTGATATGTAGAAGAAAATGAGTGTGATATTTTGAAAGTAACTTCTACTTTTCTGTTATAAAAAACTCCTCTTTTTACATATAAAAGAAAATGTGACTTGGCTAAACATGCTTGGGAGGGTGAAATTACTCAAACATAAATTAAAGATTTACCAAACATGTTGAAAATCACAAATGAAATAAATCCGTCATTATCAAGTGGGTGCACTATTTTAACTGTAGTGCTCCAATGCTCATCTTTTAAGGCCAATTATTTCAGGCGTTATTTCGCAAGATTGCTGCAGCGTTGCCAGGAATGGAGACTCTATCCGCAGCAAAGCAAGAGGACATGGTTGATGTCAACCTCAAGTCGAGCAACACAAATGCGTCTCAGTCACAACAGTCAGGAGGATGCTCCTGTTGATTGAAGGCCTTTTTATAATGCATTATTATGTTTCGTCTTCAACCCTTCAATCCGGCTGTAAAGTTCTTCCGTCTCCTTGCTTGCATTTGAATTTACGATGTAGTTCACTATTTATGTGTGATCGGTTACCTGTATCACTTTGTGGGCCTGTAGTTATCGAGGCTTTAGATAGATTTTTTTTTATCAGCGAGTTATACTTTCTAGTGGCATAACATCACACATGGTGTCTTTTGAGATTCTTTACAGGAAAGTTTGATTTGAAATTTTCAATAAAGCTGTGTTTCAGTTTCTTATTTGATGTAGTATGTATCATTTGTATTACAATTTATAATTATTTATCAACAGATGATGTGGCTTGATTTGACTGAGTCAAAATCTCATCAATCAAATATTAATAAAAATTCCTCTAATTTCTTTTTGCCATTAACCTACGTAACATAAGTACTACCATTTAAGTGGTAAAGAAATTTTGGTAGTTTTAATTTAATTTATCGGTAACTCATCAATTTGTAAAATAATTTACAATGGTGATGTACAACAAGCATCTTTCAGCATGGTAATCCTCAAGTGTTTTTTGCATGAATAGTTTGGATAATTCCATCCATGGTCGCCCATCTTTGCCAAGAATGGCCTTAAAGGTTTCCGACCTATCAAATGGGATATCAGGGTTCATAAACTTCCAAAATTGTGCATGTGATCCTGATTTTGATAGTTAGAAAATTAAAATTCTATTTAAAAGATCATTATGCCATTTCTACTGACTCGCCGTTACCATCCTCACCTCCTCGACCGGCTAGCTGCACCACCACCTTCAATGTCACCTCACTAACACGAACACCCAATTCCAATCTAGTCTCCAGGAGCTGTGGGGGCAAAGCCCCAATGAATTCCAAAAATAGATCTCCATTCTTAGTTGCATTGTTGCTCAGCGCGAAGAGAGCAGAAAACAAGCTTTTCTATTGCTATGTAACTATGATCCTTTTTTTATGATTGTACAAATAGAATAATTGTTTTCCATGTGATGGGATTACAGCATAAAATCTAACTATATGAGATCATGTGACAGATAGAAAATATTGAACATTTGTATTAATAATGTCAATCTAAGAGTTTGTTTCAAAGATTTGAAAATTATTCTTTCGAAAATCATTTTCAAACACGTATTCTACGCAATTCATAATTTTCATTACTTTTTAATCAAGGATTTAAAAAAAAAAATAATAATCATTCAAAAAATTATCTCCCTAACAAGCTCTAAATAAAATTTGAATAAAACTCTTACTCAGTTAATTAAAAATGGTATTTACGACTATAGTTTCAATGCAATTTGGATGGAAATAGTACTCCATTATTGCATGAAAACATATAAAATATATAATACCATTGCTTTTTGTTGGGAAATTATCGTCACTGGAATTGGAGAAGAAACAACATAGAAGTGATATCAAGAAGATGAAAATAATCATTCAAAAAATTATCTCCCTAACAAGCTCTAAATAAAATTTGAATAAAACTCTTACTCAGTTAATTAAAAATGGTATTTACGACTATAATTTCAATGCAATTTGGATGGAAATAGTACTCCATTATTGCATGAAAACATATAAATTATATAATACCATTGCTTTTTGTTGGGAAATTATCGTCACTGGAATTGGAGAAGAAACAACATAGAAGTGATATCAAGAAGATGAAATAAACGTGAAGAACAAACCGAATATGAAATGTTCAAATACGACATTATATCGTTGTCCTCAAACGATATTTGCCCCCTTTCGATAACAATTCCGGTGCTTAAAGAGTCTCGTGGCAAACAGTTTGAAAGATTGATCAAGTCTTGTTGTAGAAAATCACAAAAGCACAAATGATTTTCTATCCGAACTTGAAGAACACAATAGGGAAGAATTGAATATTGAAGAAGAAAACTTTGTTCTTTGTGGAATGAAGATTATGATCACAACTATTATCAAGTGTTTTTCTTAAAATTAGAATGATCATTAACCACCTATTTATAACCTTGAACATTGCTATACGAAGTGGTGCCAAAGTATAAGTGAAAGGTTGCCAAATTTGAATAAAAAACCGCCTCCAAAGGCACTAAAAAACTACCATGCGATCGCATGGTTTATACAAAACCCGGCCTCCATGTTTCGGTTAATGGCTATGCGACCACATGGTTTATACAAAACCCGGCCTTCATGTTTCGGTTAATGGCTATGTTGGCCTATGCGACCACATGGTTTATACAAAACCCGGCCTCCATGTTTCGGTTAATGGCTATTGTTCACAAAATAATTCTTTCGATTTAAAACTACCGCAAGTGTACGGATCGTAATAAGTAATAAAGTGGATTTTTAAAAGTCCGAATATCGTCTCTCAGAGATTGAGTAGTTCAATTCTATATAATCTAGCCTTAACCGAATCTAATTGAGTAAAAATATGGTCCAAATGCAAAAAATCCTAATTTCAATTAAAAACCCTAATTTCTATTGAAAACCCTAATTTTGAAATTTCTCTAATTAAACGACTCAAACACTCAAGTAAATGAAATTATGCAAATTCAAAAACTAATTTATGGAAATGAATAAAACTAAAGTCACTAGGATCACGAATCCCCAATTGAAGTTATAAAAACCCTAATTTCATAAAATCAATGACCCGATGGAAATTTACCAATTCAATGTTCCTAATCCTATCCAATATATTCTTTCGATATATATAGGACCTATTCTTACCCACCACTAGCCTATATCTCTATGGATGATGCAAATATACAAGAATGCATGTGGTTTTGTGAACAATTAAAGAATTGCATAAAGCATAGGGGTATATCTCTATCCCCTATCGGACCCTATGTTGATTTACACCTTATCGAACCTATTCCACTTCTCTCGAATGTAAGAAATAAGTCATCAACACTCACACAATCATTGGCCACTAATTGCGGAAGAAAATCAATGCATATAAACCAATCAAATTACCCAAACAAGTCTTTATATTAAATTCATAAAATATGTTATTAAAATAGCAAACAATGGTTCATCGATCACCTAGTGAATTGAAAACCTAGCCTAGAATATTCATAATTACAGAAAAAGAAATGAAATTAATAAATAGAAAGAATAGCACCCGTATGAAAATTTCTTGAAATCTTGAATAAAACCTTGAAAACCCGCTTGAATTCTTGTGGAATCGGTTTCAAGATCGTGTTTCTTGCCTCCAAAAGTTATATTTTTCTTCTCCCTGGATGTTCTGCCCTATTTCTGATGAATTTTGGCTTTTATATCATGTCCTCACGGAGCCCAGAAAAAGTTTCAATTAAAAACGCAACTTCAGAATTTTCTATGATTTTTGAAGCCATGTGGCCGCATGGTTCAAATGATCTACCTCATTAAATCCCTGCATCCTTATGTGCGGCCGCATGGTATAGTTCTGTGCGGCCGCATGGTTGTAACTTTACAACCTTGCTGTTTTGGTCCCTGAACTCCTGCATGGTTCAAATGATCTACCTCATTAAATCCCTGCATCCTTATGTGCGGCCGCATGGTTGTAACTTTACAACCTTGCTGTTTTGGTCCCTGAACTCCGTTTTCTCTTTTCTTAATCTCCTTTCTTTCTTTCCTTTGTTCCATTATCAAATATTGACTCCTAATTGATGCTTAGGTCAATCAATTCCTTGATCACTTGCTCGACTCATCTTTTGATTAATTGTAATTTAGTCCTTCATCTTTCACTTTTCTTCAATTCAGTCCAATATTACTTCTTTCTTCCTCCAATTGTCTTGTATCGTCCTCAATCTCATACTTGGCATATTTTCATTCTTGTTCTGCACTTTAGCTCAACTTTCCAATATTTGCACGTTTGGTCTCCAAACTATCGCTTTGTTCCATTTTGGTCCCTTTTCGGCTCTTTTCTTCTGAATTCCATCTTTTCCATAGAAACACCTACATTGCATAAATTTAACGAGATTAAGTCACAATTCAATTACTTTGTTCATATTTAAGTCATGTTTGTGAATTAAATAAGTGTGTAAAAACACACTTATCAGCTATGCGACCGCATAGGCCAAAGTATTGGCCCCCATCTCCCATTCTTTCCACACACGTGTTTATTGATTTATTGAACAACATTTTCCATCACTTTTTTCAATTGATATTTTCACTTTACTACGACTAATTGTTTTGTCAACTGTTGAAATACTAATTAATAATGAATTTTTTATAAACACGTGGGTTCAAAAATGTATTTGTTTAGAGGCCCCCAAGTATATTGGAAGTAGAGTGATATATGTTGATAGAAGAAGCCACCCTCGACGACAAGAAAGATAGATCGCGGCACTTCGATGCAAGGCCATCGACCCTTAAGAGGTGCTCTACCACTATCCCCAAGCGGTGCTCTACCACCATGCATGACCATCGACCCCCTAGGGGCGCTCTACCACTGCCCCCAGGGGACGTTCTACCACTATCACCGAGAGGCGCTCTACCACTACACGAGGCCGTCGACCCCCCAGTGGCGCTCTACCACTACCCCCAGGGGGCGCTCTACCACTACCCCTAGAGGTCGCTCTATCTCTACGCGAAATCTTCAACTGGCATGGCATTGCCTTACCAAACACTTAGCCATAAAACCTCTAGTGAATTGACTAGGTTCCATGGCGATTAATACGTGCACAACTTCCAAGCGGGAAGTTATAGGTCCCCCACTCAGAACGTGGGGGTAGTGGGAATGTCAGCGTGGGACACGTGGCATCACAACTGCCCAACGGTTATCCAGCTCCCAATATCTATAAATATCCCCGGATGTGACACAGGTAAAGGGATCTCTCTCTCTCTCTTTCTCTCTTTTGAGTCATCTGAATTCCAATTGCATTTTTTCAAGTCTATAAACTAATTCTCACGCCGGAGGTAAAATGGGGAAGGAAGCCCCGCCTTCGTTTTTCAGGTTATACACACTTAACGGAGTAGTTGGAACGCTGAACGCCACCAGGCAGATAGAAGGGTGTTGTTCCACCACCACTTCATTGGCGCCGTCTGTGGGAACTTCTTCCTCTGAACACAAAGGTCATGTCGAGAAGACGAACAAGAAGTGACACACGCCTAAGAGTAGAAATGACAGAGGCAGATTCAAAATCGGCTGCCAGAGGCCTCGATCCGTCGTCGCCGCTGCAGTATGTGACGCAAAGCCAGTTCAGCGCCCTAGAGACCCAGTTAGTGGCCATGATGACCCTCTTGCAAAATCAAACGCAGAGGGCTATCCTCCCACTGCATTGAGGCCCCACCTCCACCCCAGGAGGCG